CAACAAAGATGGGGACATTAGTCCGATTTGTAAATAAAATGAATACTAATAACTCCAATGGATAGCGGCTCGGATTGAGGAATCGGAGAGCCGCGTTCGAATTCCAGTCGAATCCATTACATTCATTTACGTACTATTACCCTTGGGAAAGGTGTGAATCCTCTCTCCCCCCCAAGCTATGGTTAAATAAAAGGACAGACCGGGTTCTGTAGCTTTGGATGGCAATTGGTCTACCGCAGAAAGAAATGAAAACCTACTGCTGGAAAAAAATCTACCTCGTGATCGCCTAAGCGTGTATCACGCATGGCACATAACTGACTGAATAACTCCTCATCCAAGATATTCAGATAGAGAATGACATTTGAAATAACTATTTTCAGTTGCCCCACTGAATTTTGGGGGTCACTTCTTAGAGTGGGGGACACGAACAGCACTTTGGAAAAGTCTGCTCCTAACAAAGGATTTATTCTTTTCGCATTTTCAACGTCATTAAGTCTCTCGTTTAACTTCCCATAGTGACACTGTATATAAAATATACTAATTTATTAAAAGAACTAGATACTCCATGGCAAACGTTAGCAAAATCTCTGCGATGTTTTAGTGGAACTGAATGAATGAAAGAAAAATAATTGACAGGGAGATTTGAATGAACTTTCTTGAAAAACTGGAAAATATATACGTAAAGCGTTCACTCGAACGCTTTAAATTTAAAGCAGATACTTCTAATTTTATTTCGTCTTATTTGCTTTTTCATTCTAAAAAGCAACACCCTCACCGAATGGATTGCTTCATATAAGAGATTAGATGTTACATAAACGCTTCAGCACTCTTTTTCTTTTTCTTAGTTTTAGTTCCTAAAGACATTTTCTTATCTCGTAATACATTGCTTATTTTCTGGAAGACATGTTTCGCTGTTCCAACGCACTATCGGACTTTTGTGTCACATTTTCTTCTTTTGTATTTTATCAAGAATATCTCTAAATACTCAGCAATAGCACCAGGCCAGATGTGGCGGCAATATTCAATTAATGGCCGTAATAAATAAATAAGATAGATTCAGACGATACAAAATTGTCTCGCACGACACAATGAACCAACTTTTCTAGCAGCCGACCTAGCATTTGATTCAATATATTCTTTACACTTAGATTAGATATTACATAGCAGTTCGGCACTCTTTTCTTTATTTCTAAAGACATTATTCAATCTCTTAATACTTTGCTTAGCTTATGAAAGATATGAGGAGATTGTCCAGCATTCACTGCTATATAGGAGATTAGATATTACATAGCACTTCACTGCTCTTTCCTTTGTTTCTTAACAACATTTTACTATCTCTTAATATTTTGTATAGTTTATGCAAGGCACGAGGATATTGTCCAGCATTTATTGCCACATAGGAGATTAGATATTACATAACAGGTCAGCACTCTTTTCTTTGTTTCTAACGATAATTTCCTACCTCTTAATACTTTGCTTAGTTTATGAAAGGTATGAGGAAATTGTCAAGAATTCACAGCCATATAGGAGATTAGATGTTAAATAGCAATTCAACACTCTTTTCTTAGCTTCTAATGACATTTTCCTATTTCTTAATACTTTTAGTTTATGAAAGGCATAAGGAGATTGTCCATCATGAATTTGGTTCTTATGGTGAGGCCGTAATTGTTGAAGACCCAGTGCGAGAACGTTCCGTGTGCTGTATGAACCGTGTTGATCCTGTTGTCAAGGTCCTCGATATGATGCTGCCAAGGTAGAGAAACTCATCGACGACTTCTACCGGCTGTCCATCGATGTTGATGCTGACGTCCGATGTTGCTTGTCCGGTTCTGGAAGAGAATCTTCGTCTTTTTTTACATTGACCTGCATCCCGAATAGTTTGTAGGTCTCGATATACATGTTTGCCGATCTCTGGAGGTTTAATGGCAGTCTAGTCCGCAGTGGTGGTACTGTTTGTACGAGAACGAAATCGGGCGAGGTTGAAGAGTCCGCCGTTGTGTCTGTATCGGATGTCAACACCAGTGCGCTAACACCATTCCTTCATAGTCAGCTTATGAACTTTTAAGCACATACTGGCGGTTTAGATAGTTCTGATAATGGTTCTGCAGAGATGACAGACGAGTGGTTCTCAATCTTATTTTATTTATGGACCACTTTTACTCTTAATTTTTTTTTGGTGGATCTCCAAAAACCATTCAATGAAAAAAAAAACTTTTATTTTTACTAATAGATAAATTTTATTTTTATTTTGAAGTAAAACTAATTTAATAAAAACAAACTTTTATTTAATAACTAAATTCTATGGAATATTTATATACACTAGTACAGATATATGGCCTCAGAGTCGATGTTTTTCTCGGGAATTGCCCCTGCTGCTTAAGAGGTTAATACTGTTAATACTTCCTTTATATATAATGCTTATATAATTTATATATCAAATTAGTTTTATGATTAATATTTCTTTAATATTTTATATTAATTTACATTAATATATTAATTTTTTTATTAATATTTAAAATTAATATTATTATTTATTATTAATACATTAAATGAATTTATTTAATAAACTATAATCTTTACATAATTTATATATATATATATATATATATATATATATATATATATATATATATATATATATATATATATATATATATATCCTTCCTTTATATATCAGTCTCAGTTTTTATTCAACCTTTACAATGAAAACATCCGATAGAGTAAAGGGGTCGCTGACTTACATCATGTTTTCTGTTAGTTTTACAGTTGAATTTTCTATTTTTAGTATTTTAATATGGCGTAGATTACTACAGAAATTCCAATTCTGAGTTGTAACAAGCGTTACGAAGTGAAATTGCTCTTTGGATCACTAAAATATTACCAGTTTAAATCACTAATCAAACAATGCATTCTTTTAATTATTCAAATATATATTAAACAGATTTTAGTCTGCTGTACGTGTCAAAGATACGTTACATAACAGTTTCATCGATGCTGTCATCTTTGAAGTCGTCATTCACTCGGCCATCTTGTTCTTCTGCGTTCAGCGTGGGAAACCTATCTACGGACTCGTGCAGTCGCTGGAGTCATGCAGGTGTTATAACATTATTGTAATTACGCTCCTACAAGAAATAGTTATATGTCTTAAAGGCTTATTGTATAGATTATCATAAAAAAAAAAACATTATATTCCAAGGCTTTATTCAAATGTCATTCTCTCCTACTGTTTAAAGAGTTATCTCGAGGGGGAACAACTCCTGCTTCCCAGCTACACATAGTTATACAACCATTACTTTCCCCCTCCCACCAGGTTAAATAGCAAAGAAAACTGGACTTTGAGCTGTGTTTGATAACTATTATAGAAGAAAGACGAATCTGAATTCGGAAACCGTATGTGATTAGGGTGGGGCAGTTAATTGAATCGTAATTAAGGTCTCTGCTCAGCGTAGTTGCATTTTAGCCCACAGTTCTGCCTTGTGAGTGTTGATGAAACACAAATGCATATGAGCATGCTGGGAAACTAGCAGCCATGTTGAAGATAAGAAATCACAATGATTTGCAGTGTGCCTTCAAGTTGAAACAGCTCTGATGTTTATTCTTTTATAACAGGAAGAGTCAATTTAATTCTCGCCCCAACACATATATTTTCCTGAGTTTTTTTCTGTTTTACGTTGCGACTGATAAATAGCCACAAGTCGCTTGAATATACGATAGTTTAAACTTACGTTTCTTCTAGTGGTTTTTATTATTATTATTATTATTATTATTATTATTATTATTATTTCACTCCCAAGCAAGGTGACAGTGCTACTAAGACGCAAGGAGGCTACTGGGAGCGGAAGAGAACGAGAAGATTTTTGTGTGGACATAGAATAATAAAAGAGCAGGATTCAGGAGGACAGAAGATGGCGATAATGACTTTGCATTAAAATATTTAAAGATTGTAGGCAGCAGAGTAGCAGGAAAACGGAAGAGAGTTCTAAAGATAGTATTGGAATAGAAGTTACAGTTAGGTCTAGCTATTTCAACAGTAAAACGACAATACCTAAATGCCAGTTTATTACTAGGCGGTTGAGGTACTAAGGAGGAGGAGAGCTCATTAAAACAACTGCCATGAAAATATCTATTTAAAAAAAAGACAGAGGGAAGCTACGTTACAGGGATAGGAAAGTGATTGAAGTCGGGACCGATAACATTACAGACGTTTCTTTGAATTTTGCCAAGAATTTCAACGTATAAAGGTAGGAGCACCAGACCAGATATGGTAGTAATATTCAATGAATGGTAGAATTGTAAATGTGTAAGATTCTGGCGTTAAAAATTGCCAGACACGACAAAGTAAAACAACATTCCCAGCGGCAGTTCTAACAATGGATTCAATATAAGCCAGCTCAGGACCGATAACATTGCAGACTCTTCTTTGCATTCTACCGAGAAGCGTGAGATATATAGCAGGAGCATCTGATCACAAATAGCCGCCATATTTAATAAACTGATGAATGAAAGATCTAAAATTTACAAGATGGATTCTGACGAGAAAAAAATTGTCTGGCACTACAGAGAGAACCATCCTTCTTCGTAATAGACCTAACATTTGATTCAATACAATCACCTCACTTCATGTCAGTGGAAAACGTGAGATCAAGAAGGCGGAGTAAGTTGTTCTAGAGGTCTGTATCAGCCATGCTGGTGGAAGGTAAAAATGGTGATTATCTTGTGATTTTATCTGCCTCACAAGCTTGCTGCATTTTTGTGTAAACATGTCCGAGTATTTGCTTTTTAATACTGTGTTAATCTTATGTTTCAAAATACTTTTTTTTTTTACTTTAGTTCATTAAATACAAGATGCCTTTCAAAATAGAAAATGGTAAGAAGCACATATTCTGAGTATATATATGATATACATCGGTTTCCTCTGAACGTAAAGATTATAATGGCCAGGGAAGCATCCTCTTGGGAATATGTTCCACAAAGTAACAGTTCCGAGGAAGAAGCTGTCCGAGTGGAACTTACTCCTTACCGTACGATCACCGAAGTTAAGCAACATCGAACCTGGTCGGTACTTAAATGGGTGACCGCTTGGGAATACCTGGTATTTTAAGTTTAGATGCGCGGGTGGTGTAATGGATAACTGCTCGGAATTGGAAGTCGGAGACCCTAGTTCCAATTCCCGACGTGTTCGTTATATTCAATTACACTTAAATAACTTTAGGGAAGATATGAATTCACATTTTATTCACCCAGATACATGTTAATTAGTAGGGTACGTATCAGCAAAAATCATTACTGTCGCCATAAACTTCTTACACTCTAAATATATTTCCTGACGTTAAATAATGACTTGCAAATGGTTGGTAAGACGTAAAAAACAAATCAATCAAGAAAAAATCCCCATGAAAGTGACACGAAAGGAATGGAGGCGGTGTTTCACTGTGAACATGGTACGGTAGGTCCTAGATGAGGAAAATCTGAACTGGTGAAAGTAAAGAACGTAACACTTCCGAACATCGGCCATAGTAATAATGATAGATTAGTGAGTCTGTGGGATATAGAAAGGGACAACTCAACACCGCCGACTCAACACCGTCGAACCTTACTTAGTGAATATTTTTCTTCAAATAAGGCATTTGAAAAAGCATTATGTAAAATATGAGGGCTTGGAAATTTTGATACTCACAGGGCAAATTGAAGGCAATGGACAGCGAAAAACAAGGCATAACCTATCTAGAGAGCTTCAGTAAATGGGTGGCGAAGTAAGAGATAACTAGAGAGATAACGAATAGACAAAATTTATTAAGAGCTATAAAGAGCGGGAAAGTGTAGAAAATTAGGATGATCACCAAAGTCCTGAAGGGACACGGCACATAGATGACTAAATAATGCTGAATGAATCAATAATATACGATACGTCACTCCCCAGCGATTTTATTTACAATCGAAGTTGAGACCACAAGTACGGGAATGGAAGTTTTCAGAAGGTAGAATAAATCGTGAAGGGACAACTCAACATCGCCGTCTGAGCGCCGGGACAACTCAAGACCGAGGCACCTCAGCACCAGAAAAAACATAACTTTATTTATAACCGAATATAATTAATTTATTAAGGATTAAAACATTAATCAGTGAATATTTTTTAACTAATTAAGTAAATTGTAAAGAAGTTTCTTTTTTATCAAAGTAAAAATATTCACTAATTAAAGTTTTAATCCTTAATAAATTACTTTTATTTGGTTATAAAAAAAAAGTTATTTTTTTCCGGTGCTGAGTTGTCTTATTTCCGAGTTGTCCCGGTGCTCATTCGGCGATTTTGAGTTCACTGTGTTAAGTTGTCCTGCATCAATGGGATAAGGGTTGCAGGCTGAACTATATAAATTCATATTTTTTGTCGATACTAATTAGATAAAAAGTTCAACAAATGTTAAATTTAACTACTATAAATTCTAAAAAAACAGTGCGTATTATGCGCGATACAAGAGTAATTACTGTAAATAGGATCCTAGATTTCGAATCGAAATGAATTCCAGAATATTCTGGCCTTTTATGGGAGCAACACAATGATTCTATTTCCGTTTCTCCATCTAACTGACCTTGTGCCAGACTTATCGATATGAAAACTGTTGGCAGCTGACTTCTCTCAAACACCACTAATTTCCTGATTCAGTCACCCTTTTAACACCCATCAATCCTACCCCGGCCCTTCTGCCCCCTTCTCAGAAATATCGTTCTTACCGCCAGTCTCGCACACCCGACTAGCTTCACCAAAACACTCGCCTAGCCTTTCTTAGCGACTGACTGACTAAATATTCCCTAATAACTGTACGGTTGGCTGAACTGGGCTTTTTTGATTTAATCATCTGTGCTTTCAACCAAAAAGCAGACGCACCCATACCCCTCCCCCCAACAAATATAATCGGATGACATTCACGTACACAGCGAACCCAGTGCATATTGCGTACGCTAATAAAAGGGGTGGATCCAATCGTCAGTCTGTTTAACTTGCGTTCACTAGAAGGGGAGGCAAATATATTACATGTATCAGCCTGTCCGCTTCTTTCTCTCCTTTAAAGAGTCTCATCGTCACTGATACGACAACATCCCAGCCAATCGTCTTGATGCTGAGCATTCTTTTTCTTACCTATTCTTTTTCGCGTGTTTATAAACACAAGAGAAATCAAGTTATAGTGTCCTTATTTTAATGAGACACACTGAATTTGATGAGAAAATGAGATATTAGATACACTTATCGAATGTAAGATTCAACATGGCGGTCTTCGCTATTCCTGAGTGCAAGAATATGGAACGATTTAATCTGAACGATTTGAACCAGAGCTCAAATGGTTCAGACGCATTACGAAAGACATCTTGAAATACTTGCAGTTTTATTTTATCTGTAGTATCTCGTTTAAGTTCGCGTAAATTGTCTAGAAAGTCCTAAGGCTTTATACCAACATCTTTTCTTTTTATGTGTTATGTTCTTTCAGGACGTACGCGATCATGGCTCTCCACTTCCTCCTATCCCTTGCAGCTCTCAACAAGTCCCTTCCATCTGCTTCCTCCCACAGACCACGTTTTGTCATCGACATGCTTAAGCCCTTTAGGTTTGTGATACGTTGTTTTCCCTTGTCTCCCTTTCACTCTATTCGACCCGTGAGTATCACATTCTCCAGGCCTTCTTCCTCATTATGCGTCCCAGAAACTTCAACTGCCTCTTCCTGATGTTAAGTATAAGCCTGCTCCTTGTTTGCATCTTCTCCATGTATCCTTAGCATCCTTGTCCATCCTTCGAGTCTCTTCTTCATCTTTGAGGAAATCGTCCAATATTCGCTGCCGTAAAGAAGGACAGATGTCACGTAACAGCACAGTATTCTTTCCAACATCACTGACATCAAACTGCTCAATGGAGAGACAACTGAAGCAGAAGAGGACTTTCAATACATTTGATTGAAGGCTCAGCGATTTCAAACAGCGAAAAGCAATAGCCTTAGACAAGTTTCCGGCAATTGAAGAATATATGAAAATCGCCAAACATAGAACTGAATTTAAAACTCCAACTATTCGATTCCCTCGTTCTATCTATATTATTCTACGATGCGGCATCTTGGACAGTACCTAAACAAACGGTGATGATATATCGGCAAAATAAATTAGACGTTGACGCCTGCGACCACGAACGTTTACGGGACAATAATACTAAAAACAAAAACAAAAAAGGAGTAGAAACTTGATGTTGTATTATCGAGACATTCCTTCCATTCGGGAACAAGCGACAACAAGTCCGATATGAAGGTTGACAAAGAAAACAAAGTGAAGGAAACAAACGACAAAACGTTCGATGTTTATAGAAATAAGAAAGAGAAATTTTATTTACAATATAAACAACAGTTAGAGGTAGACAGGAAATGAATAATACTTGAATTGCACTAATAGAAGTTTTAAGTACTATGGGATTAGTCCCAGCTATTTAAAACCAAACATGTAAATAAAATGACTTTTTGTACGTATTAGAGGAACATAAAGAATGTCTCAACTCATTTTATCAGAGCTGTTCATTTTTTAAATGTTTCATGCGACCACTAAGGGTCTTAACAACGGGTTCTATATTTAACCCTTTAAAATATGGGCTTACACTAGAAGAAAGGCGCAGGAACCGCTTGATAAATCTTGCTGTGTTGTGACGAACCTTCTTGAGTTGAAGCAGGAAGGGATGATGACATCACTCTCACTTCTGGCTAAAGGCGCTAACCAAGGCCTCTGACCGTTATTAAAAAAAAAAAAACTACCCAGAAGGCGCCAACTCACTCTCTTATGAGCATCTCCAAAGTGTGGCTAAATTCAAACGAGTCAATTTGCATACGCTCGAGTAGAACCTATATCGGCAAAATAAACTGATCTTTTTAGTTTTTCTTTCTTTTTCCTGCCAAAATATAAAAATCATCACTAAAGCAGAGGATAATAAACGTCTGTGATAAAAAAAAAAAAAATATCATTAAACTAGCAGACAACACGCCTGCTAATATTTTGACACTTGGGTAGATTTTCTTTTAATTTTAAAATAAAATATAGTGTATGTACATACGAAAATATATTATGTTATTTTATTATTTTAATTCCAACAGATACGAAGTCATTTAGAACCAACTGTTATATGTTAGGTGCTAAAAACCATACCACATCAGAGAAAAAAAAGACCTCCTGCTAAGGACCAACGACAACTACGAATCTTGGGATACTTAGACAACCAATATCCCTGTATCAAGATTTGCTCTCTACGAACCAGAGAATAGCAAAAACAGCTAAGGACGCCCAAGAAACATCTACATAAAACACAGAAAACATTACACAGAAAACAGCTTTCAACCGTTTTCAACGTTATTTAAAGGTTATTTTCAGGTTATCTTATTTTATTAAAGCCAGAAAATATTTTTAAATTGTAAAAATTTCTAGGAGAAAATAATGATGCACTGATAGAAGCCCCACTAATTACTCCATAGCAGAGGGAGAAGAGTTATTTATAAAATTCCCAAGGGTATATTCACATAAGTGTATATAATGAACCTGACTGAAATTAGAACTCAGCTCTCTGATTTTCAATTCGAATCCATTATTAATTGCACTGCCCTCATACCCAATCTTACAGCCCACAGTATTCCCAAGCGGTCACCCATCTAGATACTGACCCAGCCCGACGTTGCTTAACTTCAGTGATTGTACAAGAAGCGATGTTTCAATATGATATGGCCGTAATCCTGAATAGTGAAGAATAAAGAACAATCCAGAGTATGTCGGTCAGAGGTTCTATGAACTTCACATTTCCATATTAAAGAAAATAAAAAAAAAGAAATTGTCCAGAGTCGTAATGCTCATTCGGTAGACATACATTTTCATAATGGCCTCAAAATACCGGATCAAAGCGGTGACATCTGTTGACACAGAGCTGTAAAAAGTGTCTGAAGGTGACTATGTAGAACGTTGAGCTATGAAAGAAAACCTAATGTCGTCATATCCTGAACTGTAAAAAGTGTCCGAAGGCGTTTATGTCGAACGTTAAGCTATGAAAGGAAACCTAATGTCATGTCGAATTCTAAACGGTAAAATGAGACTGAAGGTGGTTAGATCGAACGTAAAAAATATGAAAGGAAACTTAAAGCCATCATGTCGAATCCTGAACTGTAAAAGGAGTCTGAAAGCAGGTACATAGAACGTTGAGCCCACGAAAGGATACCTAAGACGATATGTCGAATCCTGAACTGCAAGAAAGTGTCTGAAGGCGGTTATATAGAACGTTGAGCTAGGAAAGGAAACCTAATGCTGTCATGTCGAATCTTGAAATGTAAAAGGAGTCTGAAGGCGCTTATTTACAACGTTGAGCTAATAACGGAAACCTAATGCCGCCATGTCGAATCCCGAACGGTAAAAGGTGTTTGAAGGCGGTTATGTCCAACGTTGAGCCGTGAAAGGAAACTTAATATCGTTATGTCGAAACCATAGCTGTAAAAGGTGCTGAAGGCGGTTAAACTTGAGCTATGAAAGCAAACATAATGCTGTCATTTATCATATTTAGCTGTAAAAAGTGTCTGAAAACGGTTATGAAGAACGTTGAGCGAGAAAACCTAATGCCGACGTGACAAATCCTGAGCTATATAAGGTGTCTGAAGGCGGTTATGTAGAACGTTGAGCTATGAAAGGAAATTTAATGCCGGCGTGTCAAATCCTGAGCTATAAAAGGTGTTTGAAGGCGGTTATATAGAACATTAAGCTATGAAAGGAAATTTAATGCCGCCGTGTCGAATCCTAAACTGTAAAAGGTGTTTGAAAGCTGATACGTAGAACGTTGATTTATGAACGGTAACCTTATGTTTTTATGTCGAATCCTGAGCTATAAACTGGTTAAATCGAACATTAGACTATGAATATAGACCTTAGACCGTCATGTCGAATCTTGAGCTGTAAAAGTTGCCTAAGGCGGTTATGTTGAACGTTGAAGTATGAAGGGATATCTTAGCCCGCCATGTTGAATTCTTTAGTTGTAAGTGGAAAACTCAAGATGTTTATGTCGATCTTTGGTCCGTGAAGTCGGAATGAAAACATGTCGAATCTTATTTATTATTCAGTAAGTCTTATTTATATTGCTTTATTATTATCATTATTATTATTATTATTATTTCTGATTTTCTTTAAAACAGGTAGGAACATTATGGTCTCACTGTACTAGATTGTTCATCATTTCTTTAATGCTTGATAATTCTATCCAATATTGGTTGATAATTTTCAAAAATGCACTTTTTCGTAAATTTTTACTACAGTCTATCAAGCAAAGATTGGAGTCATGTCTGACGTTACTTCATTATGGATATCGCACATTACAGATTTTAATAATTTAATAGAAGAACGTCGACGCGTACAGCCATCTGATAGACTCTAACAAAAAAGCAAAAATAATGAAAAATCTCTTTTAGAAAAGGAAGAGCCGGTTTTCTGTTTGTCACGCTCTGTGTGAAACCTTACATGTGCATCTATGTAATGTATATGCTTGTCTGGGTTCTATGTGGGTGACTTACATGTCCTTGTTCCTTTTGACATATACACAATTACACGCCTGCACATACACACGCAATTTGACAATGTTTGACATAAGACACTGGAATAATACTTTCCTTACAACTCAATCTAGACAACCCCTACCCTGTGTTGAACACTAACAAGCGAAATCTTGAGACAAAAATAAACTAAACCCTAAAATTTCAGTTAATGATAAGGTTTTATTTAATTTTTCAGAAATTGTACGGAAAGAAATATTGGTTTTCTAAGCCAGGCTTAGATGTGGCACAGGAGCGAAACTAAGGGGCACCCAGTGAGGATCGAACTCACTGATCAGTCTTAACGGATCTAGCGAGATAAGTTTTACTAGCAGTTGCCCTACGTCGAAGTATTCTAATAATTTTTCTTAGCGCAGCTTAGATGTGGCACCAAGCCGAAAGTGAGTTCGAACCTCACTGGGTGTTCATCCAGTGAGGATCAAATTCACTACTCACTCGTAATTGATGTAACGGGACACGTGTGTTAGCCATTACACCATGTCGAAGTGTCACGCACAGTCTACATGTGACTCTGTATGTCTGTATTGTTTACCGCAACTGACAAGACGTTGATATTAAATAGCATATGCACATGCGACTCAGACATTACACAAACATACATATATGTGAATGTTTGTGTTTGCGTGTGTGTGTGTTTGTGTGTGCTTATGTAGATATTAAATCGTATATACACATGTCACTTACACATACAAATTGAAGTCATACAGGCGAATATCACATTCTCACTCAGTCTGGACAACCTCTATCCTGCCTAAGCAATAAACTCATAAATCTGGAGAAATTCGACTTTGAAAGTTACTTATAAGTTTTATTGAACTTTTAAAAATGATTCATCATACTTATTATAAAACCCAGTGTGTGTGTGTGTGTGTGTGTGTGTACGTACGTTTATATTTTGGATCGGATTTCTTACATTTTTCAACCGATTTCAACAAAACTTCACAGGACTACGTAAAATTACCTTGCGGTGGTTCTGACAGTGCCAAAAATTGAAAAAAACACAATTGTTTTTTGCATGAAATCAATTTGAAAACACGATTAAGAGGCATCACGAGAATGAAAGGGGACAACTCATATCGGAGTTATACTATTTATAAAACCCAGGTTGTGTGTGTGTGTGTGTGTGTGTGTGTGTGTGTGTGTGTGTGTGTGTGTGTGTGTGTGTGTGTGTGTGTGTGTTCGTTTATATATGGGATCGGATTTCCTACATTTTTCAACCGATTTCAACAAAACTTTTTTTTGGCAGGTAGTGTTTCTTATTGTCTTGCACACTTTTTTCTTTATTTTTACATTCAGAATGCTTTAAAAATTCCATTGTTTATAATAAAATTCTATTCAATTGGTAGACTCATAACGATTGAAAACAATGTTTTTGTTTGAGTTTGACCAATTCGTAAAAGAAAACAAAAAAAAAAAAACAAAACAAAAAAAATTAATTAAGACATGCGTGTCCGTCAACCTTAAACAATAATCTTTGTCAATTTTATTTTTCAGTCTTTATGATGGTCGATACTTGATTTATCTCTTACTGTTACATCCACGGGTAACGCCGGGCTCTACTGCTAGTCAATAATATAATTATTTTGAAAGTTTTTTTTTTTAAATTTTTTCATATTTTTTTTAAATTATTTCTTACTACAAATTATCAGACATGTATTAGAAATACTTCAGTTTTGCCCAAAGTTAATTTCATTGTTGGTTTCCCACATCGCAGCATCAGTCCAAAAAATTAAACCTATTTTAAGCATAAAATGATACCATTTATGCTCTATATACACTAATCCTTCCCGTCTTTTCAGTTTTGGGACCCTTGATTGTTGATGTATAGTAACCGATTACGTCATATCAATCATGGTACTCTTGATGGGCGATGTACAGTAAATGATTCCATCTTGTCAATTAATGGTACCATTGATGATTGATGTACACTAACTGATTCCGTCTTGTCAATTATGGAACACTTGATGGTCGATGTAACTTAACTAATCACATCTTGTCAATTATGGTGCCTTTGATTGTTGATATACAGTAAATGGTCACGTCTTTTCAGTTAGGGTAGTCTTGATAGTCGATGTACAGCAATCTATCGTCTTTTCAATTAAGATACCCTAGATGATCGATGTACCCTAACTGATCCTGACTTGCCACCTATGGTACCCTTGATGATCGATGTAACTTAATTGATCCCATTTTGTAAATTATGGTACCCTTGATGTCGATCAAATCCCGTCTTTTCATTTATAGTAGCTTTTATGGTCTATTTACAGGTACTGATCTTATCTTGTCAATAATGGTAGCCTTGATAGTCGATGTACCTTAACTGATGCCATCGATGTATAACAGATATCGTCTTCTCAATTATGGTACCTTTGATGGTTAACAAGTCGACCTTAAACCTTTAAGATTTTAGGCCCTACAAAGACGTGCAACAATTTGCCAAATGAAATGTTAGTGTTTTGTTTATTATTCCGTTATTTTTTTAACATTTAGTAATTCACTGCCTAAATTATTTAATTTTTTGACTTTATCGGAGAAAAACAATATTCTCCATCTAACTTGTTCTAACCTTCTCGATTAATGGTTAAAAAAATTGGCATTACAGACTGGAACTTTGTCACGTATCGTTTCTTTTTTTAAATTCCCATCATATATTTCCTATCACATTGAGATGTGGACACATTGATGTTTACGCCATTTAGTCGATATGCCTTTTCTGAAGAAAAGCTTTAGCACTTTTCACTCGGTGGAATCAATCGCATTTTTTTATGGACAGAATGAGAAAAGGTGTCCAAAACTTCAATGCCCACCATTCACTGTTGAGGTAATGATTGCCATCTCACTTAATACGTGACACGCAACCCGCTCTTATAAATGAGGGACTAAATTTACTTCAGGCAGCCATCTTTATATGTTTCACTGGAACGGTACTACAAAAAAGAAAGTTCCAGCATCAACACTTTAACAAAAGGGATTCCGTGATTCATCATAGAATTTCATCGAATCATTTTCTAAATTATGATATATATATATATATATATATATATATATATATATATATATATATATATATATATATATGAGTATGTATGCGTGAGAGAGAGAGATACCAGCAAACTAGATAAGAAAATGAATTGATAGCCAAGTGA